AGAAATTTAGATAAAAGCATGTGTGGTTTTAAAGAATGTGAGGCGCGCTCAAGATCAATGCATCAACCCTGTACTTTTCTCTGGATTGAACCTCTCGTGACGCGCAGCCGCTGTTGGAGGCCGACGAGACGAGCCTGGACAAGGAGAAGGAGGCTGTCCGGCTGATGCTCGCCACGGACCGCTACCCTGTCGGCCAGCAGCACCCCGACGGCTACCAGCCGTACCACGATCAGACATTGCAGTCCTCGCGTCGGCACCGGTTAGTTACATAACGTAAACACATCTGTAGCATTTATACAGTTTCTCTTTTCTTATGAACAATAATTATTAGAACTCGCCGAACGATAGAGCATCTAAATTTTGACCATCGACGACCCTGCTGACCCGTTCCGTTCTCCAGGTCCACGTCGCCGTGGTACCGGCGCCTGCTCGACCCAGACTGCCTCTCGCTCGAGACGTGCCTGGGTGCGGGCCCACTGTCTGGCTGGGAGATGGTGCTCACCTCTTTGACGGTGTTCGCCGGCGCCACCGCCACCGTGGCTGCAACCTTCTTCAGTATCCGAGACACGCTACGCTACGCCACCTTTACGCCGCCCTGCCTCACAAACGTGACGCAGGCCTCCAAGATACTGTCCATTATAACAGACGGCATGATCGCCATCTAACTCCTCATAAGCCATTCCCCTTCAACACGGTGTTCAATACGATATTTCTCAAGTCAACCACGACCAGCCCGCAGCGCTGCCTGTGAACTTTCTTCCAATTTTAAAACAATTGTTTTCCTGCAGTTATATACTCATATGAATTGGCAAAACGGCGGTACAGGTCCGAGCCCCCGTCCCCTCTCCTCTCTCTCTCTCTCCTCTGTCCTTCCCTCAAGTGTTTCTCTCAACCACAGGCTATGTGGATTGTATTGTGATCTCTAGATTTTTTTAAAGGATGAATAAAAAAACACTAGTCTTATTTGGAGCCTATGACGGAGGTTACTTATATTTTAGTTTATTAAATGTCAAAAATTGTTGTTTAGGTGCGACTGAGAAAACACAGAGATTGTCCAGGTCGCGCAGTTAAATTGAGCAAAAGTTCTATTCATTTTTCATCTCAGAAAGATATCGTTTTAAAATAATTGTAACATCATACATTCTCACTTGCCTGTGCGTTATCGATAGCAGAGATTGTTATTTATGCTGCCTCATTCGTGTCTTGTGGTCAGTGCTTTTCTTACTTCCGTATCGGATCGGAGTGGAGTGCCGTCGCGGCAAAGGCAGGCGGGAGAAAATAGGCGCCGTGGCCTTTTTTTTTTTTTTTT